TGATGCCAGAAATGTCCTTCTCTGTCATGCTATGGGATTCCAGTAATTTTTCAACTTTTTTCCTAAATTCCTCTGCAGAGTGTTTAAACTTTATGGATTCTTCCTGGAACAGAATCATCTTCTTGCGTGCCATTTGTTCATCCAGAGTCTTCTGATGGAGTTCATCCTGCAGTTTCTTTAATTTGCTGCTTAGCTCTTGGATATGAGCTTGCTGTAGCTCTATTTTCTGCTCGCTCACTCTCTTTTCCATAGTTAGAGCATGCATTTGGGCAGTTAAATTTTTAACCTCCCTGTCAATGGTTAGGGTGGAAGCACATTGTTTATCACATTTTTGCTTATATTCACTTGCTAGGTCTTTTGTTTTTGCTAGATCAACTTCGAGGGTTTTGATTTTACATATGAATTCTTGCTCAATTATTGTCTGTTTGTGCAATTGTTCATTTGTTGTACGCAACTGTTCTTTGAAACCATCTGCTAGGGCTTTTAAGGCATCATTTTTCCTCTGAATACTTTGCTTTTCCAAAGCCATCTTCTCTGATTCAGATTGAATTTGCTTCATCAGGAGTTTTGTTTCAGTATTCCATTTATTAAGGTCCTCTATCTGTCGTTTCAATGTTTCTGACACCTCATTGCTTTTGGCTAATTCATGCTTCAGCATCTGAATTTCCTGCTGCTTTTCTTTCTCTACTTTTGTTTTTTGAAGCAACTCTTCTTTGATTTTCTTATACTGGTCTTGAAGATTATTTGCCTCTCCTTTGCATGACTGTGATCTGTGCTCAGCTGCCAGCTTCTCTTTCTGGAGAGAACTGATTTGTGAATTCAAGTGTTTGATAGTGATTTCAGTTTTTGCCTGTGATCTGGTTAATTCCTCTACTTCTCTTTTTAGCTGTGTCTTTTCTTGCTGAACAGACTTCAGCTCCTCCTGATAGTTCATCTTGATTTTCTTAAGATCTGTAGCCTCTTGCATCACCTCTTCAGCTTTACCTGTAGTTCTCTGTAGTTGTCTGTCCAGTTCTTTCAACTGTTGCAAATATCTCTGCTCTATTTGGTCTTTTTCCTCCAACTTAAGTTTTAGGCATTTAAGTTCACCATTGACTTTATCTAGTTTTTCTTTTAATAAACGAGACTTTTCTTCTGTGGATGATTTCTGAAGCTCAATTTCATTCAGTTCATATTTCAGGTCTTTAATAGTTTTATCAGCTTTTTTGTTAGCAAGGGTTAACTCATCTATCTTCTGTTTAAGCTCTTCTGCTCTTTTGGCTTCTAGTTTCTTCTGGAAACTCATAATTTCAGAATCAGTCCTACACTGGCTGCCTTGCCCAGCTGTGAAACTTGGCAGGGAAGTTTCTCTAGTTACAGAGTACCTGCCTTCAACAATCCTCCTCCTGGCTTCAGTTTTCTCTATTTCTTGCAGCTTTATTTCTGATAAGTTCCCTTTAAATTCAAGATCCTGTTCCATTTGCTTGATGAGCTTCATAAGTTTCTCTTCTCCATCTGTTTTTTTCTTCAGCTCCTGCATTAAGTTTTTTTTTTGTTTCTCTAAATCATGAAGATTAGTATCTTTTCTTCTTAGAAGCTCTTCAAGGTTTCTTCTGGTAAAGGTGCTTTCTTCTATTTGATCTCGAAAAGCACGGAGGTTTTCCTCCAGTATGCTTCTCTGAGCTTCTGCCTGAAACACGAACTGCCTCACACACTCCAACTCTTGCTCTGCATCCGCTTTCTCTTTCTCAATGCTCTCCAGATCTATACGACACTGTTTTGCCTCTTGCTCAGCCTTGGTCTTCTGAAGACAGATCTCTTCCATGTC